GAACTTAGAAGTGTGCCTTCCACCACATGGCAGCTACACAAGAGAAAACTAAGAAGGGGAAAAAGAGTTCCTGACATCTTCACTCTAATAGAAAGAAAAGTAATCTTCAGACACTGCAGAGCAGAAACACCAAACTTGCAATTTTAAAAATTCAAGCTTAATAGAAAGTGTGAAAATACTTTTTGTTTCTATAACTTAAGAAGTAATTCATGCTTATGAGATAAAGAAAATGAAAATCACCCATAACGTCACCATAAGGTGTAGACAATCAATGTCACTATGTTAATGCGCACCCTCCAGAGTATTTTTTTTTTTCCTTGAGTGGGAGTCAGAGTCTCTCACACCCACCTCAGTCTTAACCTGCTGGGCTCAGGCGATCCTTCTACCTCAGCCTTCCAAGTAGCTGGAACTATAGGTACATGCTACCATGCCCGGCTATTTTTTGACTTATTGTGGAGATGAGGTCTTGCCAAGTTACCCAGGCTGATCTCAAACCCCTGGGGCTCAGGCAATTCTCTTGCCCCTGCCTCCCAAAGTGCTGGGATTCCAGGTATGAGACACCGCACCCAGCCACAGTTATATACACACACGTGGACACATTTGTGTGCATGTTTTAGGAAATAGGACCAATCATTTTGAGAAAATAAACCTAGCCTTCCAGAAGAAACCAAAAATAAAGTCCTAAACCCCTCCAATTGCAGTGTATAACTACCCATTTTTTACTTAGTATACCACAAGTATTACTCTACTTCAGTAGACAGCAAATCATGGCTTTTTACTAACAATTCATGGTCTTCTCTTCTGGGCTGTGTTGCTTCTCTATGTAAATTCTAAATGCCAATGTGATAACTTAACCAGTCACATTGTTTCCAAATACTCCTATTGTCAAATGCTAGATAAACAGTGAGAAGGCATCTTTGCTCAGCTGGAGGGCATGGAACACACATTTTGAACTCAGATATGCACTGCCAACCTGTCCTCTAGAAAAATTGCACCAATTTGCACTGCTAACAGTGCACTAAGCTGCTTGTGTTCCCACACCCTTCCTGATCTAGGTTTGGTTTCAAATAAAGCCCTCCTCTTACTACCATTAGTAGTGAAAGGCTTTAGGGTCAATTATAAAAGACAGCTATTTAGCTCAGGTTGAGGAAAACAAAACAAACAACAATAAAAGGTGGAGGGGAGAAAACGCGAGGATCCAAATACTTAGAAATTTCCGTTCCATTGGGAGCTGCATCTTTCACCATCCAGCTCCTACTGTTGGTTATTTCATTTTGCTTGTTTCTTTTTAGTCCTCATCTCTGGTGAGAGGGAAAAGGAGGGAAGGTACCAGTACAAAGTTACACCAGCCTTCAATACTCCCCCGACTCCCCACCTCTGACTGATGACCCGGTGCCAGCTCCCCTGGGCCATCACCATACCAAGCTGAGCTGAGAGCAGACTTCACAAATTAAAAACAACAGCTTCAAATGTTTTATCTCCAAAATGATCACCAAACCATTTGCTCTGACTTCTGGGGCCACTGGCCAATTTTCATGAAAATCAGTATCCCACAATGATGTGATATAATCAAAACTTCAGATTGCTTCAACCTAACACAGCAAATGTGACAAAGAGAAAAAAGTGGCCATCACAAAGGAGGAGTCTACCTAACACAGTAGTCTAAACCAGAGACTTAGCCAGTTTTCAATGTACTTTGCATCTGTGACACAGTATAGATTCTTTCCATCAACCAGGTAAAAAAAATTCACCTTATAATTTTTTTTCCTTAACCAGTCAGAATGTCCCTAGGAACAGAATGATAGCAACTATGAAAGGAAAGTAAAAAGAGGGTTAGATAAAGTTTTCCTTTTTGAACCATTATTTAGAAGCCCTGCAAATGTTCACAGAAAGGTCCATGAATTCAATAATCAAAAGATCAAAATTTAGTCAGGCATGATGGCTCATGCCTGTAATCCCAGCACTTTGGGAGGCTGAGGAAGAAGGACTGCTTGAGCCAAGGAGTTCAAGACCAGCCTGGGCCACACTGAGAGAATCTCTACAAAAAAAATCAAAAAATCAGCTGGAAGTGGTGTCATGCATCTGTAGTACAAGCTACTTGGGAGGCTGAGGCAGAAGAACCACCTGAGCCCAGGAGTTCAAGGCTGCATTGAGTCGTGATTGTGCCACTGTACTCCAGCCTGGGTGACAGAGTGAGAACCCCTACTGAAAATAAATAAATAAATAAAAATAAAAACCACAATTCAGACACAATTTTTTTCTTGTTGTTTTTGAGAGACAAGTTCTAGACATGCTGCCTAGGCTGGTCTTGAACTCCTGGGCTTAAGCAATTCTCCTGCCTCGGCCTCGTAAAAGACGGTATTACTTTAAAAGCAAGTTGCTGGCTCCGACTGCACAGGAAAGAGAAGCTCCGCTGTGAGCTGCAGCATCCGAGTAAACACCTGCTCGGGGCACTTGCAACACAGCTCCCACCACTCCACTCAACTCATTTTGGCTCTAATCCTGAGCTCATTTACTGGGCAGATACTGGCTGCTGAGATGAAACGTTACACTTCAGGTGCTGGCCAGCTGTACTGAACAGCAATCAAGAACAGAAACTGGGTCCCTGCTCTCAAATTTTAGCTGTAGAGACAGACCGCAAACAAGTAGAAAGGTTACTAAATAAGATAATTCCATAAAATAAGCCAAAGCCAGCGAGGCGGCTCACGCCTGCCATCCCAGCAATTTGGGAGGCAGAGGTGAGTGGATTGCCTGAGCCCACAGGTTCAAGACCCGCCTGGGCAACTTGGCGAGACCTCATCTCTACAATAAATCAAAAAACTAGCCGGGCGTGGTAGTGCGCGCCTATAGTTCCAGCTACTTGGAAGGCTGAGACGGAAGGATCGCCGGAGCCCAGGAGGTCGAGGCTGCGGTGGCCGGGAGCAGCCACTGCACTCCAGTCTGGGCAACAGAGTGAGACACCAACTCAAAAAAAAAAAAAAAAAGATAATTCCAAGTAGTAATAAGTGTTACAAAGACAAAAACCCTGGAGTTTTTGGAGTGCCTTGCTGGGGAGAAGAAGGCATCACTGTGGTGGGGTCGAGAAAGGCTTTCTCAGGAGGTGATGTCTGAGCTAGACTTGGAGAACATTTCAGGCAAAGGGAACAGCAAAAGGGAAAGAATGGGTGTGGGGTGTTGGAGGAAAATTGGACTCCTGGGATAGGGGAAGAATGAGATGAGGTGGGAAGAGGCCAGACTACACAGGACCTCCAAGGCACGGCGGAGTCTGAATCTGATTCTAGGAACTGTGGGAAACCACTGAAGGGCTTAAACGAGGAGGTGATATAGCCTGACTCAAGCTTCTTTAAAAACCTCTATGATGAAGCTAGGCATGGTGGCTCACGCCTGTAATCTCAGTGCTTTGGAAGACTAAAGCAGGAGGATCGCTTGAGCCCAGGAGTTCAAGACCAGCCTGGGCAGCATGGCAAGATCCCTGTCTCTCTACTTGAAAGAAAGAAAAGAAAGGTAAAGAAAAGAAGGGAAGAGGAAAAGTCCTGTGTAATGGCTACATGGAGCATAAACTGCAGCAGAGCAAGAGTGGCTGGAAGGAGACCACCGGCTACGAAAACGGACTATGGGAGCGAGGCCAGAGGCTTGGGCGAGGATGGAATGAGCTCTGAGAAGCACGGCCCAATTCTGGGCACACTTCAGAGGTAAGCTGACAAGACTTGCTGATGAATCAGAGACCGGGATGGGGGAAGGGCCAACAGGGAAATCAGGACCACTCCTATGCTAGGGGCCATTAGCTGACAGAGGGACCCTGAGGAGAGGAGCAGATCTGCAGTGGAGGGGGACAAACGAAGGCTCCATGGGGGGTGAGGGCAGTGGACATCACAGTGACCATATGCTGGGGTGCAAAGAGCACCCAGATGGCCACATGAGAGGGGAGGAGGCACCTGTGGCAGGGCTGGGGAGCACCTAGAGTGGGGGTGTGCTGAGAGGCTGGGCACTTAGAGATGAGAGCAGGAAAGGCTTGGGGGAGGCCCAGCACCCATGTTGCACGCCGCTAAGACCAAGCAAGAGAACAGGGCTAACAGCTGGATTCAGCATGACTGGTATACACTGACGAAGAAACAGGTGGGAAATATGCTAGAAAAAGGGTCCCTGATTTTGGTGAAGCTAAGCTAAAAAATACAAAAGGGGCTGAGCGCTGTGGCTTAAGCCTGTAATCCCAGCACTTTGGGAGGCCGAGGCGAGAGGATTGCCTGAGCTCAGGGGTTCGAGACCAGCGTGGGCAACATAGTGAGACCTTATCTCTACAACAAATCAAAAAAATTAGTCAGGTGTGGTAGCACACACCTGTAGTTCCGGCTACATGGAAGGCTGAGGCAGAAGGATCGTCTGAGGCCAGCAGGTCAATGCTGGGGTGGCCGTGAGCATGCCACTGTGCTCCAGCCTGGGAAAGAGTGAGCAAGACTCAAAAAAAAAAATACAAAAGGACACTCTCGGCAAAATGACTGCAGTCGACTGATCTGTCAGGTGAAATACAAACTAACTTCCCTTCTTGAAGGGGAATCGTGGCCAGAAGGTGTCCTCCTGGGGGGCAGCACTTCTACTCCCTGGGGAGGGGCACCCTGCTGTGGTGGTGTGGTGGTGCTCAGAAACCAACAGAGGGAGGAGCTGTCAGCCCAAGGGACCAGACAACCACTGGGTTGTAATTCATCAGTCTCTGACACTCTTCTGTTCACATCAACCCTAAATTGAAAGTATCTTCATCCTAGCCAAAGGCCTAAGTGAAAGGAAAAGCCTGCCCAAGAAAATGGAGACATATCTGTGCCCTGGGCCGGGAACACTCCTCCCACAATAGTGTCTTTCCAAGGTTGCTGCCATGTCACTGTCAGACTCCAGTCTGCATGTCACTCTCTGGTGATATCACAGGGGACAGAACTAGGAGAAGTGATCCCAGACTGCCCACAGCCATGCCACTTGTCTCTGCAGCTCCTCTCACTCCCGCCCCTTACCTGGGTCATTTTGTCCACAGAGACTGGAATTCCGTCGATGGTGAGCGGCGGCAGCTCTGAGTTCACCTCCTGGGGCGCAGGGGCGTGTTCGGCCAGAGCCGACTCCAGGTCTTCCAGTATCATGCTCTTGTACTTACGAACCTGTGGGAATTCAGGGCAGGAGTCAACAAGGGCCCCAACAGCGAGGTAAGATCGGTGCTGAGCAACAGCGAGGGGGGGAAGGAGCGCAGGTGGGGAAGAAGGGTCCACCACCGGCAGATAATAATATTCACTGGTCCCAAGGACATTGGGAGTGGAATTAGACAGAAGGATGATGAAACTCCAGGCAACAGTACAAGCAAGGAGCCAGCAGCAAAGCAGTCCAGAAACACTACTGCTTGGTTAAAATCATCTTTTCTCAGTCAACAAGAGCCCCCATCACCCGTTCCAGATCTAGCAGGCATGGGTATTTATGATTGTGCATTTCCCAGGTCATCTGATATACAACTGGCGGTGGCCATCAATCACCAAAACTGTTTTCAAGTCCGTGAAGGACATGTCTCTAAAACTCTAAGTAAGCTATTCAAAACTGCTACTACTTTCCTGCAAAGCCAAACTAGATCAGAGATTCAAGTGCATGAGACTGAACTGAAAAGAATCAGAGAAAACAAAAGGTGTATGCTGCAGCTGAGAACCAAAGGTGCTGCTACCAAGTAAGGCCCAGGGCCAGGCGAGCCGCACAGGCCAAGTCCTCCTCCTGCCAGGAAGTCCTGGTGACAGAGGGGAACCTCACACCACAATGCCTGGAGCTCTAGCCCAGGTCCAAACCAGACACTGTTGTTCTTTGACTCCATTCCTCACCGCCCCGGTGAAACATCTCACAAAAGACAGAGAACTTAACAGCAACACACTGTACAGCACAATTCTCTATCATGAGCAGAAAGCACAGACCGACACTGGATCCCACAACTCCCAATGTAACAGGTTCACCTGAATGCTTGGACATAGAGAAAAAAAGATAATGGGCTCTTTCACACCTCTGGGAATAGCAAAGAAGCCATGTAATTATGGAAATGTGACAAGATGGGGTAGGAAATTAACTTGCTTTCAAGGCTCAAGGCATTTTTCTAGGAAAAAGGGAAGAGAGAATGAAGTTTGGCCTGGGCTTTCTGCTGAGTGGCCTGGACTCTCAACGAGCACATATACCTCCTTAGAAGTATCTCAGTACCAGAATGAAAAAACAACAACCCCAGTGCTCCACTCAAGCATCTGGAAAAGTAAATTCTTGTTGGCTACTAAGTGCAACTTCTGCAGTTAAAAAATCCTCCAGGCCAGTCTCGGTGGCTCAGCCTGTAATCCCAGCACTTTGGGAGGCCAAGGCGAGTGGATCGCCTGAGCCCGCGGCTTTAAAAACAGCCCAAGTAACTTGGGGAGACCTCGTCTCTACAATCAATCAATCAATCAATCAATCAATAGCTCCAGTTACTTGGAAGGTTGAGGCAGAAGGACTGTAGGAGCCCAGGAGGTTGACACTGGTTTGGCCGTGAATGTGCCACTGCACTTCAGCCTGGGCAACGGAGTGAGACTCCAACTCAAGTTTTAAAAATCCTCCAAATAACTAAGGGAGTGAGAGAAAAATAATACAAACTTGCAGACTCACAAGAGTATTAGAGATTCAGCTTTATCCTTGTCTCTAATAAAAAAGAAAGTTTTAAAAATTATTGCCAGCCGGGCTTGGTGGCTCAGCCTGTAATCCCGCGCCTTTGGGAGGCTGAGGTGAGTGGATTGCCTGAGCCCGTGGGTTCAAGACCCGCCTGGACAGGCG